TTAGGGACTCACTACAGCACTCCCTGGCTCTGCAGCTCAGCACTCACTTCTCTTGCACATCTCAGTCCTCCCTCCTAGCACATAATCTTTTAGCTCTTGGTTCTCTTCTATTTTCATTGATTTGTATGTCATTTGGGAAGCCTCACTCCAGCCTGAACTATATTGTCCAGCTCCAATATTGTTTGGTTTCCTGCCTTAAATTCTTGAGAGGAAGAGTTTAATTGGCTCAGCTCTGATGTGATAAACCTCCCTGATCCAGTCAGTCTTAGGTATGGAGAAGAGTACTCTTTATAGGCATAGTGCATAGCCTGCCCTATGACCCCACAGTCTGTGAAAGGTACACTCTAAAGAGATATGGGTGAAGCTAGATTCTAAAACACTCAGATCTCTCTCTCCCTCTCTCTCTCTCTCCCCATCTCCCTCCTCCTCTCCACTTTCTCTTCCCCTTCTCTCCTGGTAACAGTTGTTTGCACTACTGTTCTTAATATTCTTGATACTTCCACTGTCTCATTCATGATTTTTCTCCTTTGTTCAGATGAAAAACTGATTTTCAGAAGGATTAGTTAATGTGTAATACAATGAATAGAGGATATGGTTCACATGGACTCATGCTTGGGTTGACGAAAAGCATGCCAGGTGCCCTTTCCCTTGAATGACCCAAATGTCCCCTTTTCAGAACCGTCTCTACCAAATCTGCAACAACCTGGGGACCCACCGATGAGAAGACAGCAGAGCCGGAGGGTGCAAAGTGACACCCCAGCAGCAGCACGTGCAGATCTCCCCTTCCTCCTCCCACTGAGAAAGTTCGAAATGAGTCTTGGGCTCTTTCACCTGCTTTGCCCAGTAGTTCTGTCAAGTTGCTCTGGAAGTGCTTCATTTTTATCCCTCCTTGGCAATGAGCAAAAATTGCCCTGGAGGCAGCTTTCCTGCCTGCGCCTCTGTCTGTAGTCTAGGGTCTTAGTGACTGAGTTGTCTGGTGTGGCGGCCCCTCCCAGGCCTGTGGACTGCAGAGCACCTCTCTTGTGGGGAGCACTTCTCCTTGGGAAACACTGGGCCTGGTGATCTCAGTTCTGTATTTTTAATTCAGTCCTGTAGAATTTGAGTTGTTTTCAAGTTCTATCTTTGTGAGACTTTTATACATAGTTTTTCTGAGTAATGTTGTATACTGAAAGATATCTATTTCAAATAAATCTTGGTTTGTTTTTAAATCAATATTCTGACTGTCCCCACATCTCTGGTTGTGCTATGTGCTATGGGAGGGGGGGGGGCTGTTTTGATGCTGAATCTATTGGAGTGGGGGGGTCATTGGACAGCTACTATCCTTGGGAAGTGTATAACCTTTTCTACAGGCAAAATCTCTGACATCTAAAATGTGTCTTAACATCAGTAACCTCAGCCCTAAGCAGATTCCCACACACTTTTTTGTTTTTGGTCCATTATGGGTCTTGAACTGGGCACTGTCCTTGACCCTCTTTGTGCTGAAGGCTAGCACTCTGCCACTTGAGCCACAGCACCACTTTTGGTTTTTGAGTGGTTAATTGGGGACTTTTCTGCCCAGGGTTAACTTAGAACCACAATCCTCAGATCTCAGCCTCCTGAGTAGCTAGTATTACTGGCGTGAGCCACCGTCACCCAGCTCCCCCACACTTTATTCAGGATCTAGAATTTACATGGGAGGGGACAGTCTCCAATAGCTATAGTAAACCTGTAGAGTGAAATCTCAAGACAAAGCCAAGCGTAGAGGATTTCTCGGCAGTCACACTTTTCCAGTCTCTAGGCCCAGATCTCTGCCTCCTAGAACTACTACTACTACAAAATGACCCACATGAAACTCTTCAAAGAAGACAGCCCGAGGTCATGACAGCTTCTCCAGGAGAGGCTCTTTGGCAATCCCTTAGCCCAGGGACAGCTGGAAGAAAGGTTTCTTACTACAAGGCGGTCACCTGAAGAAAGGTTTCTTACTACAAGGCGGTCACCTGACCTGTGGTTGCCACATACCTGAGCTCCCGCCTTCCCCTTCCTCCTTTGGGCAGTGTTGAGAACACCCTGACATCAAGGCAACACTTAGGACCCACCCGCTTTATCCAGAGTCTTCCAGCCTTCCATTCACACCACTGCCTAAGTAAACCAGTTGTAGGAAAGCATAGTATACAGCAAGCGCTTAACTGATGCCTGTGACTGAGATGGGGCAGGCCTTCATGCTATAGAATGGACTGGCTTAGAAGGTGAAGAGTTCCCCATCCCAGGACTTTAAGCATGGGTTGGACTGTCACAGGACTGGACATTGCAAGGATACAGGGAGAAGATGGCAGCTACAAGCTGAGAGAAGAGTTCTGAGCAGATCCTCAGCTCTTAGAAGGATCCAACCCTGCCAACACCTTACCTTGGATTTCCAAGTCCAGAGCTAAGATAAACACCTATTGGGTAAGCCACCCAACTTCAGGTCCTTTGTTACAGTAGCGCTAGCAATCTAATGCAACCACTGATCACATTCAGACCGACAGCCCCTCTTTTGTCAGCTTCCACCACAGTTACTCTGTATTTAACACCTAAATTCACATTTTCTTGGGCTGCATGGTATAATTCCTTCCTAGTCTCTCCCTTCCACTGCTGCTTGCATTCTGGTTCCTGCACTCCTCCATCCAGCTACCTCTAATGTTGAAGTTTCCCCAGGGGTCTTCACTATATGCTGGCCATGACTTCCGATCCCACCTGTACGTAAAGCTGTTGTACGTTTGTGTTCCAAGCTCCAGACCCTGAGTCCAACTGTGTCCTGGACATCTCTGCTTACATGTCCCCACACACCTCAAATGCATGTGCAAAACCCAGCTCATTTCTTTCCAATCTCAGGAAGGCACTTCCTCACCTAGGGCACCCAGCATGACTTATGCCCCCTGACCACACTGCCATCTTTTCCTAGATGGCAGTGTTTTTCATGGTCAGAGCAGGGTTGATCTACCTCCACACAGGGATCTGAGATGCACTTTCATACCTTACCTCCAAGCTGCTTGATGCTTAAACAACTGCCACTCAAAGAAGCACTAGATCACAGACAAGTTTTTATTTGTCCTCCATATAGAACCAAGAAATAGAAAAACTCCCGAATTACTCAAAGGACCCACCTCCCCCACCAGCTCCCTCCCTCCCTGGGTGGGCTCAGATGGGTCATGCTGAGGGTTGTGGGCTACCTCTGGTCCAGTGAACAAGTTCCATATAAAAATAAATTTGTGAAGGGCTCTCGGAGACCCATTACCCTGCCTCCCGCTGGTGCCGGTGCTGGGCTAGGGCCTCACTCCTCATTGGAGGAGAGACCTACCCTGAACACCGAAGTTCTGCCCACATAGCCAGTGCCCCCCCCCCCCCCCCGCCACTTCCCTGCAGAACAGCTCGGGGAGGAGAGGACTTTGACCTTAAGAGAATGACCCAAGATGAGGCTGAAGATGGGGATGCGGTTTCTACCACCCAGGACAGGGCACTGGTCCAGACATCCCTGGAGGGGGTGCTGAAGGAAGAGCCTAGAGGGAACCTGTCAAAGGTGGGAGTGATGTCCCAGTACCCCCAAAGTTACTGAGCTGGGGCAGGTGTTCAGTGGAGTGGTTAGCCAAGAGTAGAGGAGACTCCTAGGAGGAAGGAGCCGCTGCTCTCAGGGTGCAGCCAAAGGCACCACTGGGAGTCACCTCCACTATGGGGTGCTCCTCAAAGATGAGCTGCACCATCCAACCCTGGGTTCTTTTCTAGCTAGCACCTGCTGGGAATCCTCTTGTCATATGCTGTCTACCTTAGCCTGCTGAAAACGACCCACACCAAAGAACCCTCATCTCAGACCCTGTGTCAATTATTTTCAGCTAAGAAACCTTTCAGGATATCCCTGGATTCCTCACACTGTGAGTGTCCAGCTGCCCTGAGTGGTCCTGGGTGGGTGGCCCTGGGTGCTAGCAGGAGGGCACCATATATTACTTCCTGGTACTTGAGCTCATTTCCCCATTGAGGGTAAGTGGGTTTTTCATCCCACAAAGCCAAACAGCAGCAGACATTGTCACCAGTGACATGAACAAACCTGGCTCCTGTGGCCCTGTCTAGATCCAGCCACCTGCCTGCCCTCCTATGAAAGCCCTGGCCTTGAGATCGCCACTGCCAGGGCCCTTCCAGACGGACACTTGTAGAGTCGGTCCAGCATGACGGCTCCTGCCAGGGCTCTGCAGAAGTCACAGGAGGAGGGGCTCTGAGGATGCATTGTGCCCAGGGACAGAGCTAGTCAGAGGAGTCACCTCTAGATAATCCACTGGGCAGCCCCAGGAAAGATTGTGGGTGCTGAGCCAGCCTCCTCTCTAGACTGGGGTCTGACCCCAGCTTTGGCTGTGAGCTCCATGGACTCTGTTTTCTCCAGGGTCCTTGGGGAGCAGGGGCTAGACAGCCTGTTAAAAGAGAGATCTGAGTGTCCTCTTTACTAGCCCCCCAATCTGAAAAGAAAAGCTCTTGGGTCCGTACGGAGAAGACTCAGTCCCTCAAACTCTTCTGTGTCAGTTCACCTCTCATGGGGCCCTAGGGGAGGAGCACCAGGGCTTTGTATAGTCCACTCAGGACCCTGGCTGGCCTTCATCCTGAACTGTCAGCCCAAGAGAGGGAACTCCTGAGTGTCAGACTTGAAGTCTAGCCCTTGAGCTCAGAACATCTGCCTGCCAGGGCCTTAGTTATTAGTCCAAACAGACCCCAGCCAAGGCACAGGGACCCTGCTCCTTGGGACCCTGATCCTCTGGCCCAGCCTCCCATACCTGGGCTACCAGGCAGCTACAATCACTGCCAGGTCAAATGGATGTCCCTCAGGGACCCCTGCTGTCTGACTGCCAATAGATCTATGAAGCAAGGGGGAACATCCATCCAGGCCAGTGGGTATGGAAGATAGATGGGCATGAGCCCGGGCAGTTGAAATAATGTCTTCTCTCCCCATCATTGCTCAGCTATGTCCCTGAGACCCTGACATTCCTTTTGCTATGATCTTGGGGGTCCTCTCCAGGGACTGGACCTCTTCCAGGGGCACTAGGTTAGCCAGGTGTTCAGAGGGGAAAATGAAATGAGGTACCTCATGACCCCAAACTAGCTAGGAGCCCAAGAGGAGGAAGGAAGCCCTCCCCTCCCCCGAGGTGGAGAACAGCTGCAGGGTTGTTGGGCAGGGTTGAAGTCTGCTGTGGAAGAGTTGGGGGCCTCACACCTGCACCCCCTGGCCCTGCAGTTGCAGCACTCGAGCCCGCAGGGCGCTGATCCCGCTCAGAAGGGCCTCTCGATGTTCCGCTGAGGAGATGCCCAGGCTTACCAGGTCCCTGGAACAAGGGCTGGTCAGGCCTAGCTAGCCCAGCCCATTGTTCTGCTCCTCCCATGGAGTCCCCTGGCCCTCCCTCCCCTTCTCTGCACAGGGCAGCACTAGTACCAGGAGAGGCAGGGCCAGGCCCCTGGGTTCCCTACGTCCCAGTCTTGACCCTGGCTCTTCAGACTCACTGGGCAGTCATCTCAGCCACAGCCTCCAGGCTCCCATAGCCAGCTGCAGCAAAGCTGTCCTTGTAGCGGCACAGGTCCAAAGCCTCTAGCCAGGCGCCCACAGAGCCAAAGGAAGGGAAGGAGGAGAAGGCACGGTCTGCCAGAGGGGTGGGAGGCCTGGGGAGCAGAGGAGCTGAGGTCAGACAATGGCCAGGGTCTGGTACCCAGACCTGGTCACTCTCCTGAGGAGAAGCTGTGAGAAAGCACAAGGGGGAAAGGAAGGAGATCGAAACCCTGGGAGAGGCCTAGCTGACATGAGCACTGTGACGTTCCAGAGGAGATGAGTTAGGAGAAAACTGAATCAATTAAAGACACTGAGGGTATCTGGGACAGCCAGGCCCCACACGCCTAGGACACAGGTGTGGCAGGTGATGCCTATTTAGAACAACTAACCTTCACTTCACTGAACTCACTTATTGGAACTACAGATTTGTTAGGATGATGATAAATACGTCTTTTTCAGCCCATGGTCATTATACACAGGCTATGTGGGGCAAAATCCAGGACAAAGATGGCTGGGATAACGCTGAGCAGTGGGCAGGTGTAGTGAGCAGGTGGTGGTTGTGCCAGGGACACTGGGAAAGCCATTAAGTGGACAGATGAAAGGGTGGCTCTATGTGGGACAACTGGCGATTGGTGAGAATGTACCTGGGAGAGGTGGTCGTGACACCTTTCGAGGGTTCTGGGTCTTGCCCCATCTTGCTCAGGATGCTGTGGATCTGGGAGAATCTAGGCCGCTCACCTGGGTCTTTCTGCCAGCAGTCAAGCATCAGTCGGTGCAAAGGGGAGGGGCAGTTCCTGGGGGGTGGCAGCCGGAAGCCATCCTCCACAGCCTTGATCACCTGGGCCACAGGGATGGGGAAAGATAGAGGGGGGAGGGACAGGTACAAGGGGGGGGCCAGGGCTTCAGATCAGATCCCCTTAACACACTATCCCAAAGAGGATTCCGATTGTGTCCAGGCAGATGACAGAGAAGACAGACTTGGAGCTAGGTCAAGGGTTAATGAGAAGAGGTCAGAGAGCTGGAATCTGAGGTCAGAGGGTAAGATCAGAAGACAAGAATCTGGAGTCACCCATCACTCACGTCTTGGCCAGACATGTCCCAGTAGGGCCGCTCCCCAAAGGCCATCACCTCCCACATGACAACACCGAAGCTCCACACGTCACTGGCAGAGCTGAAGTGGCCAAACTGGAGTGTTTCAGGGGCGGCCCAGAGGGCTGGACTCCGGCCACTCTGTGGGTACATAGGCAGATTAGGTCAGAAAGGAATGAAGTCATACCCAGGCCATCCCACCCCACTTCCAGCCCTATTTGTCTTCCCAGGCAACCCCTGGTCATTATCCCTGAGCTGACCACAGGATGGATGGTTCCCCAGAGTATTTCAGGACCACAGGGGTAGATAGACAGGGCAGGGAGCAACTCTGACCGCAGGGAAGAGCAGGGGTGGGGGGAATAGAGCCTCCTTCCCCAACAGCTGAAGGGACAGTGTGTGGGAAGAGCACAGGCTGGACTGGGGGAAGGGAACCCTCACCATGGTGGTGTAGACAGCCTCTGCTCGGTCCCGGGGACCCCTCCCAAAGCCAGAGATCTTACAGACGAGGCCACTGCCAACCAGCACGCGGCGGGCCGCCAGGCCCCGGTGAACATAGCCCATCTCCGACAGATACTTCATGGCTGACGCCAGCCCAGGCAGCAACCCCATCAGCTGCCCAGCCACCAGCTGGCCCTCATGATGCTGTGGATGGGGGAAAACTGAAGCCAGGGCTGTACACTGGGATCCCCCGGCACAGTGGCAGGGGATATCCCTTAGCCCTCTCTAGACTTCAGTCTACCCAGTGACCATTGGGTCAGCCAAGACTGCAGCAATGATGCCAGTTCCAAGCCCACCAAAAAGGAGCGTGAAGGACTAAGTGTAACATGGTCCACAGTGCCCTCCCGGGACCCAGGCCACTCACCCTGAGGAAGCCGTCCAGGGCGCCATGGCTCATATACTCTGTGACAATCATCAAAGGGTTTCCTGGGTCAGGGGACACACACTAAGTCATCTACTCCACAGTCAGCTCACAGGGCCACTTTGCAGCCACGATAGCCAGGATAAAGGCAAGCTGCCTAATCTTACCACCCTCCCACCCTGCTCAACCCCCTATGCTGAGGAACAAAAGAGAAGTGTCTTCAGAAGGCCAGAGGCCGAGGTCAGGAGCAGCAGCAGCAAGTTAGCTACAAAAGATCACCCAGGGCCAAAGTGACCCATCCAGTGGGCAGCTAGGAGGGTCATTCTGGGTCAGTGGCCACTTTAGAAAGAGCATGGGTCCTACCTCGAGTGACCACGCCTTCCAGCCGCACGATGTGGCTGTGGTCAAACTGGCCCAGCGTGAGGGCCTCTGCCAGGAAGCTGAGCCTTTGAGAGTCAGAGCAGCTATCCCTCAGCGTATGCACAGCCACCGGCAACTCCTGGCGGCCCGGCAGCTGCAGACAGCCACAGCACAGGTCCCCAAAGTGCCCTACAGGGAAACCGCACCTCAGACTACTCCCTGGAGGACAGGACCTGGCTGGCTGGGGCAGGCTAAGCTGAAGCAACAGTGACCCTGGGTCATGGCTGTTTGTGGCCTGCTGGGGGAACCCCTGAGCATAACTCCCAGTAACCTGAGTACCAGCAATGAGGCCTGGGCCTTCATCTCTTTCTCTCTTTTGGCCTCACTTTGCTTCTCTATGAAAGGATTTTGTGCATGCCAGACCATCAAGGGCCATGGAACCCAGTATGACCCAGGACAGGGGGTTAGGGCATCTACCCTGCAGCACTCTTTTTGGTTTCTGTGATGGCAACAATACCAGTGGAGACAGCCAGGCCTCTTAAGTACAGGAACTAAGGCCAGGTAGATAGGCAGAAAGCCGGACACTGGGGTGAGCACTAGGAGGTCCTCACATCAGCCTCAGAAGGTAAATGTTTTATCCATTTTCCAGACAAAAAAAAAAACTGAGGCTCTGAGAAAAGTGGGACATACCCCTAGTCATGCAGCTCATCCACTACAGAGCCAAGACTAAAATAAAACAGACATTGAGAAGGCTTGGCCCTACTCTCCCCCATGAAGGCCTAGGATTGAGAGGGTAGGCAGGCAGAGTCTTGAATCCTTTGGTGTGCCAAGGGATTTTTCTGAGTAAAGCCTGTGCTCAGTAAAAAGGCAGGGCTTCTGGACATGGGACAGGGACTTGAGAGAGGCTGGCTGAGAGGACAAAAAAGTGGAGCTAGGGAGGGGCGGGCTTCTAGAATAGATGTGGGAGTACTGGGTGGAACTTTCTGAGCAGAGACTGCCCAGTGGGTGGGACCTCTCTAGTGAGTGGGGCTTCCAGGTGGGATCAGGTGTCCAGAATGCCTGGCTTGCCTGCTCCCAGGCTCCTCTCCAGTGTGACACTTTTCATATCCAGCTCCTTGGCGAAGAGATGCACAGCCTGCAGTGGGTCTCCACAGTTCTGGGGATCCAGGAACGTGCGACGGGTGGGGACTTTGACTGACAATGCAGACAGGGAAAGAGATGAGGCTGCGGGAAGGGGACTCCATCACCAGGAGAGGGGAGAGGCGGGGCACAGACAACTCACAGTGGAAGTACAGCTCCTCTTCATCGTGGGCATCCCCGCCTCCTTTGCCATAGCTGCAGGGCCTGTGGAGTGCAGAGTTATCCTGTACCAGGCCATCCCAGCCCTTCTCACTTGACCAGTGCCCAGGGTAGCATCTCTTGGTCTCATCAAAAAGGCAGGGTGTGCACCCTGGGGAAGGACCTTCTTGTTCTCTTTTGAAGCCTTCTCTGTAGCTAAGTTTCTCGCTCCCTCCCTCCTTTTCTCTCTTCCTTCCAACCTTCCTCCTTTCCTTTCTCCTTTCCTGTGCCCTGCCTCTCTTCTCCAAAGTTCAACAAACCTAAGCCACAAAGGATGGCATAAGGGCCCCCTGAGGCAGGGTAATGATGGCCCAGATAAAGACCCTGGCTTTTATTCTGGGAGCAGAGAACCCCTGGGGATTGGTACAATGCCATGATTTAATTTTCATTTTAGAAAGATCCTCCCAGCTGCTAATTCCAGGCCGCTCTAGCTCTACCATCCCTGCACAGGCAGCACAAGGGCTGACACTGAGGGGTAACCATGTGACAGACAGAGGTTGAGGAGCTCAAGAGACAAGAAGGCTTCAGGGACTACAGGGCTTGGAGAAGACTGCTGATGGCAGAAAAGGAGAGAACTGGCCCAGCAGAATCCATGGGGTGCCATCACCAAGACAGGGCATGAAAAGTTCATGTTTAGACATCTGAGCTCATGGCAGTAGGCAGCTCAGGGAAGACTGGTGAACAGGGAATTTGATTGTATTTCTTTTTTTTTTATTGTGAAAATACCATACAGAGGGGTTATAATTACATGGGCAAGGTAATGAGTACATTTCTTATCAAGCATTGTTGCCTCCTCCTTTGTTTCCCCTTCCTATCCCTTCCCATCTCCCAACCCCCCAGTACCCCCCCTGTTGATTGTATTTCTGTACCTCAAAGAGAGATCTGCTCTGAAGATACAAATCAAGGGCCCCAAGAAAGAAGGGAGACTGGGAGAAATGACCAGGAACAAGTCTGGGAAAGCCAATAGATAGAGGTTGGGTAGGAAAGGAGAAAGTCACAGGAGTGGATGGAAAACAGAAGGGAAATGGGCTGGGGATGTCATAGGAACCAGGGAAGGAGAAAGTGAGGAAGGGCATGTGAAGGTTAGAGGAGGAGGGAAGGGGGAAGTTTTCAAAAGAGAGGTGGGATGATGTCTGGACCACAAGGAGCATGTGCGGCATGGAAAGGTGCTGGTGCCTGGCTTTGGAATCAAACTGCACATTCCTGCCTCTCAGATCCTCCACTGAATTGGGACCAAGGAGGCTCAGTTTTCTCTTCAATAAAATTGGGATAAAGACAGCCAAGCTGTGCCGCACCATTTCAAAGAGCTTACCATTACATTTGTATTTTGAATGCTCCCCAGGGGCCCACATGTTATGGGTTTGGTCCCTAGACTACAGTGCTATTGGGAGAATGTAGAAGCTTTTGCAGGTGATGTCTGGCGGGGGTTGGGGTGGGGGGGAAGAGGAAGTCAGGTCCCTTGGAGAATGACCTTGAAGAAGGTAAAGGGACCCCAGCCCTTCCATGGCCATCTCCCTGCTTCCCTCCCACCATGATGATCTATGCCACCACAGGTCCAAAGGACAAGACGGACTGGAACCCCTGAAACTGCAAACCAAGGTCATCTTTTTCTCCCTATAAGCCAAATTTCTCAAGAGAATGTTGTCATAGCACCAGAAAGCTGACTAAAACACTTACTAAGCCTCACTATATGTTTTCTCTCATGTGGGGAAGAAGGGAACATTATAATGGGTCCCCAGGATGAAGAGAAGTAGGGACTATATCCTAGATAAAAGGGCTGATGCTGGCTAGGAGCAAGGCTTCTCTTTTAGAGCAAAGGGCGTTGGAGGGTGTAAGGAATAAAGTCATCCCCTGCTATATCATGGCTCACTTATTGCAGCTCCACTGTATTATGGGTTTTGGGTTTTTTTTTTTTTTAATATGTAAGTAGTGATCCTTACCTATCTCAGGAGTTATGTTCTAGGTGAAAACCTGCAAAGTAGCAATAAGTAAACCACAATATAGTGGGGTCTCTGGAATGTAACTCCTGTGGTAGGTGAGGGATCGCTGTATGAGGAGACAGGGTTGCAGGTTTGGTGATAAGAAGCCGAGGAGCCAATGAGAACAAGAGTGAAGAACAAGGTAAAGAACCAGCCAGGGCCTTTGGAAGGGCCCAAAGGAGGAAAACTGGATCATGGACATGGGGTGGGGGTAGGAGGTGGTGAGAGAGGGCAGTCTAGGCTGATAGCCAGGAGGCTAGGTTAGAGGGTCCTTGGGAATAAAGAAGTCAAAGAATCAGGAGGCAAGGGGTGCCAGGCATGGATGGCTCACGCCTATAACCCTAGCTACCCAGGAAGCTGAGATCTGAGGATCCCGGTTCAAAGCCAGCCTGGGCAGGAAAGCCTCTGAGACTCTTGTCTCTGATTAACTAGCCAAAAAACAGAAATAGAGCTGTGTAGCTCAAGTTGGTAGAGCACCAGCCATAAGTGAAAAAGCTAAGGGGCAGTTTTCAGGCCCTGAGTTCAAAACTTAGTAACTTGCATGGGGAGCAGGGCGGGGCAGGGAGTGGGGCAGGCCATCCAATGGCTGCTGTAGTCACCCAAGATGGTGATGGATGGGACTTCCATGCAGGAGGAGGAACATCCATCCATCCAGGAGAGATGGGTAGAGAGGAAGCAGGCAGGAGCTACATGGTTAAAGAGAAGCACACAGTGGTGAAGGCTAAGAAGCTGCAGGCTGAGAGGACTAAGCCCTCCAGGGAAAAGTGGGTGTGTCAGGAAGGACTGGAGAAGGAACTGGAGGGAGAGGGTTGCAGCCTGAGTGACATGGAGAGAAGGGACACAGAGGAAAGCCACAGTCTGCATGGTTGGGAGATGTGGCCTTCCTGTCCTCAGCACCAGACCCCTGGTTCTCCCTCCTGCAGGCCAGCTGGAATAAGCATGGAAGTCTATCACTGACCTCTGCCTGCCCAGTCCACCTGCCTCTGCAGCACTCCTGGCTGCTGCTCCTTCCCCGTAGGCCCTCTGAGTAGATGAGATGCCGCCTCTTTTCTCCCCTTTCCGCCTGAACCCCTACACCCATCTTTGCTTTTCCATCACCCTTAAGTTCTGTGAGGAAGAAGCTCCTTCTCCTGCCTTCCTGACCCACCAGGGACAGAAATGGCCTCCAGACAGGCAGGACATGTCTCTGCCTCCTCAGTCACCATCAGAGCCTCCATCAAGGCCATGAAAACAACCAGTGCCAAAGGGATAGCCATTACCCATCCAGCCAAAGGCAGTTCCAGGAGGCAGAGGTGGGTGAGACACGGCTCCCTGGTTACCCATTTTGCCTCTGCTCCCCATTCTAGTTCACTACAGGCAGATATTCCATCTGCTGACTGCAGCCCCAGCCTATCACCACCTGGGCCTCTGCTGTAGAATTAGGCCCTGGGGGTGAGATGGTGTGGCAGCGGAGCCTCTGCTATGTGCAAAAGGCCTGGAATCTTCTCTCAGCCAGATATAACCAGTCTTTAGTTCTACATCTCTCCCACCCTTTCTCTGCCTGCTCTCCTTCAAGCTTCCTCCAATGAGGTAGAGGGTTTGGGGCTTATGAGTTCCCTTCCCTGCCTTCCAAGCTTACACTTACACACACACACACACACACACACACACAGTTTCTGCCTTTCTCTCTCTGCCTTCAGCTCCCTTGGCAGTAGAGGCTGGGCACCTCCCAGAGCCTCAGGAGAATCTTAATCACACCAAGCTTGATTTCATCCTCAGTGAAGCTTTCTGACATTTAATGAGTTAAGGAGCTAAATCCCTTCATCCCAGTGAAGCTGAGCTAGCCGCAGTGCAGGCTGCTGTATGAGCAGGGGGGAGGGGTCCTGGACTGGTCACACTGATATCTCTGCAACAGTGTGCTTGCATGTGCAAATCTGCATGTGTGCAAGGCAGACACAGATATCAGTGTCTTTGAGCCCATGTCCATGTGCACAGTGACATAAGCCTGCAGGGGTCACCCAGGCTAGGGCCAGCACCTACCTCCTCCAAATGGCCAGCACGCTCATCACGGAGCCCAGGACAAGGAGGGCTGAGATGGTTACCACAGTGACGACGACCGCAGGGCTCTGGTCCCTTGACCCTGAGGCAGCTGGGAGGAAAAGCAGGAGGTTGAGGCAGGAAGAGCACCAGGCTCCCAGACAGGTTCCCAGACAAAGACCCCTGTCATCAGTCCACAGGGACTAAGTGGCACCTAGAATCCCAAGCAAGCACTTTCTCTGCTCCAGGGCAGGGCACCTCCACTGTAGCCAGTGCTGAGAGAGGTGAGCCTGGCCTCCCTTTCAGAAGCTCTGCCAGGGCATGGCCTCTGCATGGAGCTCCCTGCACCCAATGCAGACCCTCCATCACCACCACCACCAAGAGCCAGTACTAAATACACACTCTTCCAGACACAGTGCTTCATTCCTGAACTCTGCCACTCTCATTTCATCATTGCAACAGTCCAATGAGGTGATTCTGACTCTTTCACAGTGGTGGAATCCAAGGAGAAGACAAGTTATGTAACTTGGCTAAGCTGACAGCTGAAAATGATAACCTAAGATTTGAACTTGACACCAAAGCCTCTGCTTGATGCCAAAGCCTCTACTTGGAACTATTTCCCCCAGGGCAGAAGCCCAGGACCGCATCCATCCATCTACCCACCCCATTCCACCTACTGTAATATGTCAACAAGAAAGAATGACTAATCTGGAGAAGTACACAGGCCTAGGTTGGGAGATAGAAATACACACACACACACACACACACACACACACACACATGCACACGCACGCACACACACACACCTTAACCATACAATGACCAAAGAAAGAAATGCACAGAGATGAGCAGAGGCCCAACACTTTCCTTCCTAAAGCCAGTGAGGAAGCTTTACACAAGAGGGGTAGTCTAAAGTGGATGGGGGACAGAAAGGGCTTGGATGCTGCTTTGTGGAACCAGAGATGCAATGCCAAGTCTGGAAAATGCAAGAGATGAGAATGCATTGAGAAAGGAAAAGAAGAAAGAAGCTAGGTGGGGAATGGAAGGACTTGCGGAGCCAGGAGAGACACTGGAGGAGGATGGAGGGCCCAGGGGAGATAGAATTGGAGGATCTTGGAGGCAGGCTGAGGAGTAGGAACACTGTTCTAAGGGCCGGAGGTGACATGCTGAGTTAGGAGTGGGGACAAGGGAGGTGCTGAAGAAAGGGAAGATCTGGAATAACTGTCCAGAGCAAGGACGGTACTGGGCAGTCCTGACCACTGAACTGAGACTGGAAACACACACACCGTGTCTTTATAGTGTCTATGTGGAACAGAAGAAGATGGCCCAAGCTGGGAAGCAATGGGAAAAGTGTGGCAAGACATGCAGGGAGTGAGGCAGGCAGAGCCAGGAGTATTTCCCTGTGATTACCTGCCAGGGCTGGGAAGTGGTGGAAGAGGCCAGGCATGCTGAGAGTCTGGGAGAGGAGGAAGAATACAGAAAACTCTCTCTTGGATGCCACAGAAGAAGGGAGAAGGGACAGGACGGAGAGTTAGAGACCAACAATGCAAGGTCAAAAAGCCAAGGGTTATAGAGCCATGGGGCCTGGGGCTGGCCAATGGCAGGAGAATGGAGTTGCCGAAACTGTTCAAAATGAGGCATGAGGCATCCATGCAGACACAGAGGTGGAGAGGAGACACTGCCACCATGGGAGGCAGACTTTGGAATGGTCCTCTTGATTCCTGCTTCCTAGTCTACATCACCTTGAGGACAGGCTGAACAACTTCTTCTTCATTCTTCCCTCCTCCTCCTCCTCCTCTTTTTCTTCCTCCTCCTCCTCCTCCTCCTCCTTCTTTTTGTTGGCCATGGGGCTTGAACTCTGGGCCTAGGTGCTGTCTCTCAGCTGTTCAGCACAAGGCTCTACCACTTGGGCCACAGCGCCACTTCTGGTTTTCCGGTGGTTTATTAGAGATAAGAGTCTCACAGACATTCCTGCCCAGGCTGGCTTTGAATCATGATCCTCAGATCTCAGCCTCCAGAGTAGCTAGGATTATAGGTGTGAGCTACTGGCGCCCAGCTCCTAGCAACTCACTTCTAATGAACAGAACATGGGATGCTATTCTCAAGGTTGGTTGACAGAGATGGCTCCATCTTGAGTGTCTTCTGTGCTCTCACTGGTTCACAGTCTCTGAAAGAATCTAGTGTTGAGTGGAGTGTCCCTAGACAGACCTCTGGGGCAAAGATTATCAGTCCCCAGCAGCAGCCATGAGAGCCTCATTCTCTCCCAGTTAAGCCATTTAAACTCTAAGATGAGCAGGGTGCCAGTGGCTGGCACCTAGTCATAGCTACTCAGGAAGCTGAGATCTAAGGATCACCGTTTAAAGCCAGTTGAAGCAGGAAAGTCTGAGACTCTTATCTACAATGAAGCATGGAAGTGAAGCTGTGGCTCAAGTGATAGAAACACTAACTTTGAGCAAAGAAGCTCAGAGACAGTGCCCAAGCCCTGAGTTCAAGCCCCAGAACTAGCACTAAATTAATAAATGAACAAACTGTAAGATGATGCCGACCTTGGGAGAGACTCACAGACAGTGGTGGCACCCATGTTCCCAACCCTCAGAACCATGAGAGAGCAATGCTTGCCGTTCTCAGTCACTAAGTCACAGGCTTATCTCTTACCCAGCAAAAATAACTAACATAGTGGTGAAGCATGATTCCTCATCAGCACCCTATCTTGGGGTCAGAAGTCACTAGAAAAATTGTTCTACAGTTGTAGGGAACTTCCCCCCCATAGCCAGACCCAAAGCAAGGAAGGCAGGATCAGCTGTCAGCTGACAACCCAGCTCCTGCCCCTCAAACTCATGAGCCTTTGCTCAACAGCTTCTGCTACCTAAATACCTCCCCTGTCCATTTCTACTTGTTCAAACGCCCCTTAGTCTTCAAGCCTCAGCTCTAATCTCCTCTTCCCAGCACCTGGCCAAGGCCTGACACAGACAGGCATTTAAGTCAGAAGTGCTGTCATCCTTCTCGGAACCTAGGCTCCCTGGTATTTTATCTTCGCCTCCCTTTGGGCCCAGAGCTCTTCCTATCTAGGATTAGAGTCGTATAGCAGGTTGGAAAGAATTATTATCTTGACAGCTGGTGCCAGAATGCCTCTTAAGGGGAACTGCCTTTGTTCAAGAAAATACTTTCATGAGCTGCTCGGGGTAGATAGAGGTGAGATCCTGAGGGCTGTGAGCATCAGGCAAAACAACAAAAGAGGAAGCCAAAGCTTTCTGTAGGCATCATGAAAGGGAACGTGGGGGTGGGTTTGAGGAAGAGGCAATGGGGAGGGAAATAAGGGGCAGTGCTCCCCCCTCTGCCCCCACCCAATACTATGGAGGAGGCAGAGCTATTTTGAGATCAGGAAGTCTAATGTTCAGCTTTTGTTTTGCTGCTATCAGAGCTTTACTAAGATCATTCGAATACCACTCAGTCCACTTGAAGTATGCAAAGCTCATTTGGATTTGTTGATTGCTGCCTTCAAAACCCCTTCAAGTGAGCATCCTCTACCCCTAGGAGAAGTCTGGTTCAGGGGCTAAGCCTACTAGAAGAGGAAATATTGCCCCTTGGCAGGTCTCTACCATGGCAGAGAAAAAGAAGAACAAGAAGGACTTAGTGGTCATGGTAACAGGCGGTCATGAGACTTCAAACACTTTTCAGGAAAATGGCTGAGTTTCAGAGTGGACCCCGTGTCTGAGTCTCAGAACGTTTCACAGGACATGGAACATGCCCTGTGAGAAGGGAGGCACACTCTGAGACAAATGTTCTGGCCATTCCTGCTGGACTTCTTCAGGGCAGGTACCAGTCAAATTCATGCCGGAAGACCCAAAACTGCTTAAGTAATTACATTGTAATTCAACTGTTCTGCAGGCTCCCTGCCCAGCACACCTAATTCCCTCCCTGATTTGTCTCCTTTTCCTGTGTCCTGTGTTTGGCTTCTGGACCAAGGCAATGTACTACTCACCTTCCCCAGGGGTCTGCACTTCAATGCTGGGGCTGAAGCTCTGGCCCTCCCAGGAGGGCCCTGTGGAAGCTGTCCGGATCTGGAAGACGTAGCGGGTGGCAGGCTTCAGGTTGGTGACGGTGACGGCTGGTGCCCCTGTCTTCACCATGGAGTAAGTCTGTTCACTCCGACCCTGGAGAAGATGGAGAAGTGAGGCCAGATCCAAGGCCAGAACCACTCTTCGGGGAGAAGGATGGGAGGACAGCCATGGAGAGGCCAGAGGACTACCTCCCAGTGAATGTGGGTTGTGCGGAGGAAGGACTCCAATCATCTTGAGGGTCGCAGAGATTTCTCCCATGGGAGAAATCTCCTCACAGCAGTCATACTCAGGGTTCTTGTAACCAAGAGGACTATCATCTACATCTGCCTAAGACATACTTAAGAAAAGATGCCAGAGCCTCCCTCTCAGAGCTGATGGGGTTAGGGACCCCAAGTGAGCAGGCCTGACATTGCAGAGTGAGAAAAATGATCCTGCCCCATCCTGCCCTAGACACTCTTGCTGGGGGGCTGCCATCTCTGTGAATCTGATTTTCATGAGAGTCTTGTAAGGTGGGGGACAGGAGGCATTATCTCATTTGCTGTTTTGTTTCACAGATAAGGACACTGAGCTCACTTGGATGAGGTGGGGGTAAAGACTCACCCCAGGCCCCAGTTGGAGAGAAGGACATCACTGATGGGAGCCTACTCACTGCCCACCACTGCGCTGGACTGTACAAACCCCACGCCCTGTAGTCCCACTCCCTGTAATATCTTTTTTGGCTATGGCATTCATTGGAACAATTCCTGGGAAGACAAGACAGCTGCAGGACAGTGAGGCAGGGAGGAGGCTGGGAAGGACTGCGTGGAGCAGCACAGCTGCAGACCACAGCTGCTTTCATGAGCTAGGAGCCAGCCCCTCTGTGGAGAAGGCTGTGCTGGGGTGCAGAGAGAAGGGAAAATGAGAAGCACTGTGGCTCCAGAGAAGGGTCCCTGACACCTGTCCAGACCTAATGACCCAACAATACTTCAAATACAGCACCTTGTGAGACTCACGCTTCTTTTTGATGGTTTTCATTCCCAGCATATCCACATTCCCTGATTAAGGGCTTGTGAGCATCCAGCCAGCTGTGAAGGGACTCTCATCTACACTCTCATCTCTAAATGTCAGTTCAGTGAGTCTTTTCTAAGCATTGACTGCGCACATAGCTCCTTCCCAATATCCTTCACTGCTGCCTCCTAAACACTGCTCCTCAGAAGCCTTTCCTGGATACACTCAGAGTTAGAGGCTTTATAAAAAAAAAAAAAAAAAAAAAAAGTACAGCTGGGCACCAGTGGCTCACACCTGTAATCCTAGCTATTCAGGAATCTGAGATCTGGGGATCAAGTTTTGAAGTCAGCCCAGGAAGAGAAATCCATACATTCCCTTCCTGACATTAGCTACCATCCCTATGCTGAAAGCTGTCACTCACACAAGAACCCTGCTCTTTTTCTCCCCAGCTTGCAGCTCTACTGTGAGTTTCATACCTGTAAGTTCCCCTGGATACCTTGCATGCATGAGGCCCTGGGTTCGATTCCTCAGCACCACATAAACAGAAAAAGCTGGAAGTGGAGCTGTGGTTCAAGTGGTAGAGTGCTAGCCTTGAGCTGAAGAGCTCAGAGACAGTGCCCAGGCCCAGAATTCAAGCCCCACGACTGACAAAAACAAAAACAAAAACAAAACAAAATGATAATCCAGATATATCTCAAAGCAACTAAGTGAGACAAGGTTTAAACATGATACATATTTACAGTCACGTTCCTAGACAGATAATATGTGTGTGTGATGTCAACATGTAGGCAAGTTTGAGATTGACTAGTCTAATGTCAGTGAACAGTCACACACACTCTCTCTCTCTCTCTCTCTCACACACATACACATACACACACACACACTCCAATGTGTGGCATCCCTGGGAAGAGAGCTCAGGCTCTCACCTGTGTGTGTTGAGTCAGGTTATTTCCAAAAGCAGCCCCTTCAATACTTCATGAGCAAACTGACACTATCTTGCCCCAACCTGCTCTTCCTCTTCCACGGGTCTCCATCTCAGCCAGGGCACAGTGTTGTCCTCTGGGTCACCTAGGCCATACATCCAGCAGTGACTCCCTCCTCCTTCCACGTCCCCTTGACACTCCCAGCTCTCAAGAGACTTCTAATATTACAAAACGATTATCTGGTTCAGCAAAGAAGTCCTGCGTGTCACTGAGGAGTGAGCAGAATTCTGATTGCATTTAGAGCTGGCGCTGAAAGAGGTTTTACTTTAATGAATTTAATTTGTACTAAGGTGAGAAACTGTTTAACAGCAGATTATACCTCAGATGGAAGGAGGAGGAATGTATGAGAGAGTGGTTGTGGTGTAACTCCATTTATCAAATCAAGACTGACCTGCAACTCTACATGAAAAATGCATGCAAGCTCTAGCAGCTTTGTGAATTTCTATAAAGCCACGTTGTTTGAGTTATAGAAAATGCTAAAAATTGGGAAAAATGCATATAAGAAAAAAATCTTGGCATAGTGATGAAAGCAGGGAGTTTCGGCTACTTAAAAGGGCGGGGTGGGAGTTAGAGCCAGGGCTGGGCAACACAGAAACATTTCATCTCAAAAAAAAATTACAGGGGCTGGGAAGGTGGCTCAGTGGTAGAGCGCTTGCCTTGCATGCATGAGGCCCTGGGTTCAATTCCTCAGCACCACATAAGCAAAAAGAAAACAGCCAGAAGTGGCGCTGTGGCTCAAGTGGTAGAGCGCTAGCCTTGAGCTGAAGAGCTGAGGGAGACAGCGCCCAGGCCCAGAGTTCAGGCCCCACAACCGGACCCCCCCCAAAAAAAATTACAAGTGGGTGCTGGTGGCTCATGCTTGTAACCCTACTTACTCAGATGGCTAAAACCTGAGGTTCAAGGTTTGAAGCCAACCCTGGTAGTCAAATCTGAGAAATTCTTATCTCTACTAACTAGCAAAAAGTTGGAAATGGGGTGTGGTTCAAATGGTAAAGCACTAGTCTTGAATGAAAAAGCCAAGCAAGAGCATGAGTCCCTGAGTTCACACACACACACACACACACACACACACACACACCACACACACCACACACCACACACACACACCACACACACACACACACACCACACACACACACCACACACCACACACACACACACACACACACACCACACACACACACACACACACACACACACACACACAGCTGGGAACTTGCATAGCACATAGGGAGGTCCAGGGTTCAATCCTGCAAAAATCAAATCAAATACAAATACAAGATTTGCAAAAATACCCTATGAGGTTCAATTGGATATATGGGATTTATACCGAGTATTTTATGTATTTTAATATTATAAACAATGTGTTACGCATGTGTCCTTTTTATTAGTATAATTATAACAATTCACACCCTCATTGTTTTGGAGAGCTGTTTTTATTTGTTTGTTTGTTTTTTTCTGCCGGTCGTGGGGCCTGAATTCTGGGTCTGGGCGCTGTCCCTCAGCTCTTCAGCTCAAGGCTAGCGCTCTACCACTTTGAGCCACAGAGCCACTTCCAGCTTTTTCTGCTTATGTGGTGCTGAGGAATCGAACCCAGGGCCTCATGCTTGCAAGGCAAGCACTCTACCACTGAGCCACTTTCCCAGCCCCATGGAGAGCTGTTTTTAAATATTACCAGTACACCACAGTGGGTATATATGGTCAGAAAATTTTGTAAAGTTTGAGACTCTGTGTGTGTGTGTGTGTGTGTGTGTGTGTGTGTGCGCGCGCGCGCGCGCGCACGGTGTTCTTTCCCTTTAAAAAGGCTGAGAAAATGGTTTGTACAGATCTAGCCATAGAAAATCTGGAAGGGCAAAGGCGGGGGGGGGGGGGAGGGGGAGAGGGGATGGGGCCAACTTGGGGCGGGGGGAGGAAGGCAGGGGTCAGCAGGTCCAGGGTGAGGAGGGCTATGGAGAATCTTCAGTGGTGGGGGGGAGAGATATTGAGGAGGCTGGTGTGTTTGGAAAGGAAGGGAGGAAGGGGCAGGAAGAGGCAGAAGGGGGCGGCAGGTGCGGCGCAGGCTGCTGAGGGCTCCCACTCAGACTCACCTTCTCATAGTACCGGATCTCATACTCGGTGCCATTAGCCCCAGGGGTTCCAGCAGGGACCGGCTCCCGCCAGGACAGGGACACACTCTGGGGTTCCACTCGGTCCCTGCGGATCTCATCCTCCTCCCAGGGCGCTGGAAGTTAAGCAGAGTGGGGTTCACCTCCTGCCCTGGGGTCTGGACTGCGGGAACTAGGCATGGGGTGGGGTGGGGTCTGCGGGATGGGCGGGGCCTAGGCATGGGGTGGGGTGGGGCTGAGGCATCAGGGTGGAGTTTGTGAGACCTCCTACAGGGCCAGCTAGAGGCTTCCTGCTGCCTGCTACTCTACATTCAAGCATCCCTAATGGTTCTAATCCCGCAGGCTCTTTTCTGCAGTTTCTATGGCTTGGAGACGTAAGAGAACATTTAGAAGCATGGAAACCAGCTACATAACTATTCCCATAATCTAGTCATTAGAACAATAAACACATGGAACAAACTAGAACTGGAGGGAAATTTCCCCAACGAGATAAAGGGCATTCATGGAAAGTCATACTGAAGGTAATACCCAATAGTGAAAGTCTAGACCGTTTCCATCTAAGATTAGGAAAAAGTCAAGGCTGCCCGCTCTAATCATGTCTATGCACCGCAAGACTTGAAGTTCTAGCCAGGAAAACTAGGCAAGGAAAAGAATGAACAGTGTCCAAACTGGAAAGTAGAAGCCCCAGATGGCACGATCTTTTATGCAGAAAAGTCCGAAGAGTCCACAAAAGATTTTCTTTTTGGTTGTTCTTTATTTTTATTTTTTTATATTTTTTTCTTTATCTTTTTTAATACTTTCAAAACTGATAAATGCAGCAAAGTTAGAGGACATAAAATCAATATTTAAAAAATAAATTCCATGTTTATACACTAACAACAAACAATTCAAAAGGGAAATTAAGCTAGGAGTGTAGCTCCATAGCTCCTACCACACACAAAGCCCTGAGTTTGATCCTCAGCATCCTTCCACCACCACCCCACACACAGGTAAACCTTATTTACAATAATGGGCGATGGCAGAAGTGAAACTATGGCTCAGGTGGTAGAGTACCAGCCTTGAGTGAAACAGCTAAGGGACAGCACCCAGGCCCTGAGTTCAAGCCCAAGGCTGCCACAAATAAATAAATAAATGTTAATTAAATAAACAGAAGTTTGGAGCCAGCCTGGGCTACACAGTGAGACTCTGCCTGTGACTTTTTTTTTAAGAACTAGGAATACACCTCAGTGGGTAGAGCATTTGTCTAACATGTATGAGGCCCTGGGTTCCAGCCCTAGCACAAAAAAATACCAAGGGTTGGGAAGGTGGCTCAGTGGTAGAGTGCTTGCTTCACATGCATGAGGCCCTCGGTTTGATTCCTCAGCATCATGTAAACAGAAAAAGCCGGAAGTGGAGCTGTGGCTCAAGAGGTAGAGTGCTAGCCTTGAGCTGAAGAGCTCAAGGAGAGTGCCCAGGCCCAGAGTTCAAGCCCCACAACTCACACACACACACACACACACACACACACACAAATACCAATGCTCGATATATATCTCAAAGCAATTAAGTGGAACAAGGTTTAAACATGATATATATTTACAGTCATGTTCCTACACATATAATGTGTGTGATGTCAACATGCAGGCAAGTTTGAGATTGACTTGTCTAGATAATGTCAGTGAACAGTCACACTCCACACACACACATACACACACACACACACACACACACACACACACACACACTCCAATGTGTGGCATCCCTGGGAGGAGAACTCAGGCTCTCACCTGGGTGTGTTGTCAGGTTATTTCCAAGAGCAGGTATTGGAAAGAAGCTCAGGCTCAGAGAAGATGTCTGGAATAGGAGGTAGGGGTGGAAATTCAGGCCACTGAGATGACTGGATAAAACCACCAGGGAAAATATATACAGAGAAATAAGCCACAGGAAATAAAGCATTTAAGAGATAGCCAAAGGAGCCTGAAAAGGAAGAGCCAGAGCAGCAGAAGGAAAACAGCAGGGGGCAAGCAAAGCTATAGAAATCTAGTGAACAGAATGATGAAGAAAGCCCCCATACTAAAGATATGGCTCAACTATAGAGCACTTTCCTAGCATGCCTGTGAGATCCTGGGTTCAATCGGCAGCACAGTAGGTCCTTCCTGTGTCCATTGATGATCTCACTGTCTAAGCCTTAGATTTCTCACATGTAAAATGCTAGACCTGAGGTGAGAATTTCCAAAGTCCTACTCATTAAGGACTTACACAACCCCTGACCCAGGGCAAGTACTCAGTGAATTAAGGAACTCATGGCCAGCAGTTTCATGTACAGAGAACAGGCAGAATAAGATGATCCAGAATTCTCGCCTGCCTTCACATCCTGGAGCTCTTGGACTTCAGGGGTTGGGGGAAGTAGATGTCACATAGCAGTGGAGTAGCAAGTAGGAACAAAAGCATCATGACTCCCACTTTGGCAATGGCTAGAATGTAGCTTTCTGTCTTTAACAGTATCAGCCTAGCAGCCCCCACCTCCAGACTTCTCCAAACTCAATGAAGATTTGAGGATTCAGAGAGAGCAGCATTCCAATGCAGTCAGATGCCTGATTGCCACAGTGGGGACAGGGAGTAGAGTAGAGTGGTGTATTTTTACCTAAGATAAAGCTCGTGGGACTGGACTGGAAGGTGTAATTGTGGTAAAGCCCAGCCTGTGCTGCCCACAGAGTGGCATTGCTTCCCATTCTAAAAATAACTTGAGAATACTTTTTTCCTCCCGCAGTACTTGACCTTGTGACAGAGAGAGAGAGAGAGAGAGAGAGAGAGAGAGAGAGAGAGAGAGGTCTTTGTTACCTGACAATGGCCAGCTCCTAAGAGTGCCTCTTGGAAGGAATTCATCAGAAAGATCTGGCACAAAGACAGGAGTGATGAGGCCTCCTAGGAGGTGGCTCTGTCCTTTGTAGATACAGGTAGAGGCCTGTCTTTCTCTGTCTCATGGGGAAAGGCCATTCAGTGCCTTAGAGGGCTAGATATAGAGGTAGGAAGTGTTTCCATTTCAGCTCCTCAGAGATATTGCTAGATTTAAAAATTTTTAAGAATGGTAAAGGGGGTCACAAAAATGGAGGGACATAGGATGAACAAATGTAGCAGTGGTATTCAGTAGAAACTATGTTAAAAATGAACTACAGCTGGGTGCCAGGGGCTCACACCTGTAATCCTAGCTACTCAGCAGGCTGAGATCTGAGGATTGCAGTTCAAAGCCTGCCCAGGCAGGAAAATCTATGAGACTATCATCTCCAATAAACTACTCAAGAAAAAGGCAGAAGTGGTGGTAGAACACTAGCTTTGAGCCCAGAAAGGCTCAGAGACAGTGCCCAGGCCTTGAGTTCAAGCCCCAGGACCATCCAAAAACTGAAAGAAAGAGGGGGGGAGGAGAACGAAAGAAAGGAAGGAAGGGGGAAAGAAAGAGAAAGAAAGAAAGACAGAAAGACAGAAAGAAAGCAAGAAAGAAAGAAAGAAAAAAAGAAAGAAGGAAAGAAAGAAAGAAAGAACAAAGAGAGCTATACAACTTCTAGATGGGAACAGGAGGAAAAAAAATGCAAGAAAACAAAGGAAGGGGTGATACTGCCCAAAAGGAAATGTACTCATTGCCTAATTTATGAAACGGTAACCTCTCTTTATACCACCTTTATAATAACAATTTTTTTAAATCCTAAGAACAGGGGACTGGGAAGGTGGCTCAGTGGCAGAGTGCTTGCCTTGCATGCATGAGGCCCTGGGTTTGATTCCTCAGCGCCACATAAGCACAAAAAGCCGAAAGTGGTAGAGTGCTAGCCTTGAGCTGAAGAGCTGAGGGACAGCGCCCAGGCCCAGCATTCAGGCCACGACCACCACCACCAACAACAACGAAGTTTTAAGAATGGAAAATAAAGATGGATGCTGGTGGTACCTGTCTATAATCCTAACCTCTCAGGAAGTTGAGACCTGAGGATAAAAAGGAGCCTAAGCAGACAAATCTGAGAGACTATTATCTCTAATTAACTAGCAAAAGGCAGAAGCAGAAGTGTGGCTCAGGCAACAGAGCAGCAGCATTGAGTGCAAAAAGTTAAGCATGAGTACAAGGCCCTGAGTTCAAGCCCCACTACCAGCACACCACATCACCACCACCACCACCACCACCATCACGATCAAAGAATGGAAAGGAAGTGCTGATAATAAAACTAAATTTGGAGTCCAGGCCCCTATTGTCCACCTGTAGGTTTGTGATAAAATTCGACTGGTACCCAGGTGGGCCAAAAGTTCGGTAACCACCAAGGAAAACCTATCTATAGCCAACCAGTCCCTTTCCCTGCTGAGAGAGCCATTTGTGATTCAGGGTCCACAGTCTTCCCAGATCTCCCAGAGATTCTCTGTTCTAAGACATCTGGTTTAGGGTTGGGTTGGCAATCCAGTTCCAGCCAACAAAAGAACTCAGCTAAGGGGAAAAAGAATTCTGAGAAAGGTCTGTTGCTTTTTAAAAGCCTGCATGGAAGAAAGCATTCTTTTTATGCTTCTGGATGGTAAGGATATGAGATCTGGAGTTGCCATAGCCAACTTGCCGTCCTTAGGAGGCTAGGTGCAATGGATGGGAGAGCAGAAAGACAGAAAGAACCTATGTCCTGGAAGACACTGTTGACCTGCTGAATTGACCAAGCTCTAACTGGAGTCTTCTTAAGAAATCATTTTGGGTTTCATTGGAATCTCAGCTAGTTAGATTGAGATTTATTGTTATCTATAAGCAAAAGCCTCACAACCAACACGAGGAAATCATGCTTATTATTATTGTCATTGTTATCCCCAGAAGCCTCTTCCCTCATAGCTTAACATGCTCTTTCCTTAGGCAACACTAGGCCTATATAGTAAAGGCAGCAAAAGATTAGCCCCTCCCCCCCTTTCCCTGAGAGAGAACCCCTTTGGGATACCTATGACCATATAAGGCATCAAGATTCCCCAAATCTATGAGGCTATAAAGGTCACTTGAAACAATAGCCGGCACTTCTCACTTCCTCTCCCTTGTGAGAAGGGGTCTGGCCAGCCCCTTTACTGGAAATAAGCCTTTTCTTTGTTCTTTGTACCTGGATGTCCACAGTGGTTTCTGGTGAAGTCTAAT